TGTGTGTGTGTTTTATGTTTTCGCGGGTATTTATATGTATAGTATTTAGGCTTCGGGTATTTTCCCACGTCTTAATAGTTGTGCTTTTAAAGTTATAGTGACGTTTCGGCAGAATCTCATCTGCCATCCTCAGGCTTGTGTATTGGGGTTTTTCTCAATACTGCCAAAGCCTGACACCCACTATTGAGAAAAAACCCAATACACAAGCCTGAGGATGGCAGGTGAGATTCTGCCGAAACGTCACTATAACTTTAAAAGCACAACTATTAAGATGTGGAAAAATACCAGAAGAAACCTAAATACCATACATACATACATACATACATACATACATACATACATAAAATTCAGATGCTTGGCATCTGAAGTGGTTCATATTTATGACGGTTGCAATATCCTGGGACTGTGTGATCAGCTTTTGTGACCTGACAATCAAAGTCAATGGGGAATCCAGATTCACTTAACAACCAGGTTACTAACTTAACAACTTGCAGTGCTTCACTTAACTGTGGCAAGAAAAGTCGTAAAATGGGGCAAACTCACTTTAACAAATGTTTCACTTAGCAACATAAAATTTGGGTTCAATTGTGGTCGTAACTCGAGGACTACCTGTATAATGAAAGGCTTTAATGCTCCTATATCCTACCTTATGGGATGGTGTCTTTGGCCAAAGTAGTTCTGCCTATATAACTTGGGAAACTGTGGAGGGATTGATTGGTGAGTATAGTTCAGTAGCAATTGTAAATTTTCATATGATTGGAGGCTTCCTTAAGGAGTCTTTGGAGTTTGGCTTTGAAAAGTATTTCTAAGGTTAGAGCAGTGTTTCTCAACCTTAAGATGAGTGGGTTTCAACTCCCAGAATTCCCCAGTCAACATGAACTCTACCTATAAAGATGCCAAGGTTAGGGCATGACCAGACGTAATTATTGTTGGTTTTTTTTTTAATCTGTAAAATTGGGGACATTGGTTTGAGATATTGAAGCCTCTGCCAGATACTTTGTCATTTAGCACTGTTTTCTTTTACATGAAATAATTTATTAGCATATTTAACTACTGCTTTGGTTAAATGGTTTAATTTGGTTTCTTGTTAACTGCTAATGCTAATACTTCTGTTTTTCAGGGTAAATGGAAGAACAAAGAGAGGGTCCTAATTTTTTCTTCCAGGGGAATAAATTTTAGGACAAGGCATCTAATGAAGGATTTGCGTACATTAATGCCTCATTCTAAAGCAGGTAGTTTATGATTCTACTTGTATTACCTCTCTGTCTTTTTAGTTAGGTGATTATTATTTCAATTTATGAAAGCCTGCACAAATCTGTACACTAGGAATGATTAGTTTTTGAAAAGATATTGGAGTTGGAATAAAACTGAGTGAATCAGTAGTTATATAATTATACCTATTGTTGCCTCCTCTTAAAGCCAGGTAGCTTATGATTTTTCCTGCCCTTACAAAAGTAAGTATCAGATGGTATGCTAAACAACATATGAATACAAAACATGTCCCACTTTTGCAGACAGAGGTAGTAAGAAATAAATACATGGAAAAACTTGAAATAAACATCACCTATAAACTAAATGTGTCAAAGCAGTTATTCTGAATATTAATTTTTGAGGGAATCTTCAGTATCTGTAAAATAAATTCTATATTGTTGAAGTTTATAAGCTTAAAATATGCTTTCTATTTGTGTTATAGATACAAAAATGGACAGGAAAGACAAGCTATTTATCATTAATGAGGTAAGTTATGTAAATTTTCTGCCTTTTCCAAGTTATTGATTGTCCTGGAACGGGAATTTAATTCTAGCTTTTCCTGTGCCTAAAACTTTCCACTGTGCTATATTATAAATTACAAATTTGAGGATTATCTAAAACAACGTAAGTGAGCTTCATCTGCACTCATAAAATCCTGTTTTATTCTAGTTATTAGATAAAAACAATGAAATACTTTTCTTTGGTCTGAATATTGTTTTTCTTACTTTATATAGGTCTGTGAAATGAAGAATTGCAATAAGTGCATATTTTTTGAAGCCAAAAAGAAACAAGATCTTTACATTTGGTGAGGAAAACTTCTGCCTATATATTCCAATTATTGATATCTAGACACGGTAACCTGTGCACTTTAGCTCCCATGCTAATTCTGGAATTCTGGGAGTTGAAGTCCACAGTTTGTAAAGTTGCCATAATTGCCCTGAGGTTTGGATGTTCCTACTACTAAAAACAAGCCAAAACATCACTGTTCTAGTGTCAATTTGAAACTTGGCAAAACTGCAAATTTGGGGCACTTTCAGACATTTCTTGTCAAAAGTATTGTCTGTTTATTTATCTTCATTTAGTACATACTATAAGCCAATTACTAAGAAAATGCAATTATCAAAGAAATGCTAATATTTTTTCTAACCATCTTCCATAATTCTTTTAGGCTTTCAAATGTTCCCCATGGACCATCAGCCAAGTTTTTAGTCCAGAACAGTAAGTACAGCCACCTAATGAAATACCTTCTAATACAATCATTATGTTTTAACTGCCTCCAAACAATCCACAAAAAATATGCTTGTGGTAATTATGTCAGGCATTTGCAAAAATTAGTCTTGTAGACTGTGATCAGCTGCTATACTGTTCTGTTCTTTTAAACTTCTTACCCACATAGCAGACAGTCTATTCTCAATTGTTCTTAATATCATTACAGTTCACACATTGGCTGAGTTGAAGATGACTGGAAACTGTTTGAGGGGCTCTCGACCTGTTCTTTCTTTTGATCCAGTAAGAATAAACTTGTAGTTGTGGGGCTACTTTCCTTTATGGTCTATAATTCTCGTACTTTTCTCCTTATTCCTAAACTTTATTGTTTTATTTCCTAGGTTTTTGACCAGAAACCGCATTATGCTTTGCTGAAAGAGCTATTTATTCAGGTTTGTATATATTTATTATTCCTAAGGGGCAATCTTCCATCTGTAATGATGTGTTTTCATTTGGAATCCTTTGATCGGGAATTTATATACATGTTTAAGGAACAAAGTTTTGTTAGACTTATAGTAAGTATAGGTTGCCAAGATCTCATGCTACTTCAGTAGGAACGGCACATTATACATTACTATTAGTCTCTGTAAGACTCTGTCCACAAGGAAATACAATAGTAAGACCTGAAGAATTCAGCTGAGATTTTTGTTTTCCGTATTTTACCTCCACTTCTGTGAACATATTTGAACTAAGTGTGTTGGAATTCATTTCTTCAGTGCCTCCGTAAACACGTTGACATCATGCTCTGACATCAAGAATGACCTGGATGGAAGTTACGTTGAAGTTGCCTTCAACAAATATGAAAGAAAGTAGACAGTCTTTGTATTATGAAAACAAATACATATATATATAGCCTGACTTTGTGATAACAATTTGTGTATTCAAACTATTTTAATAGCAACAAATTGACCAGACTGGAAT